ACGTAACCCAGTACTTAAACACGCGATAGCTGGGGGCGTCGGGGCAGGGACTGAGAGTCTCGGAGCGGGGACTGGCCGAGTCGGGGCTGGGACTGAGAGCCTCGGAACGGGAGATCGCTGCGGCGGCCCAGCGGGAAGGGGGGATCGCTGCGGCGGCCCAGCGGGAAGGGGGGATCGCTGCGGCGGCCCAGCGGGAACGGGAGGATCGCTGCGGCGGCCCAGCGGGAACGGGAGGATCGCTGCGGCGGCCCAGCGGGAACGGGAGGATCGCTGCGGCGGCCCAGCGGGAACGGGAGGAGATCGGGAGTGGGTGGGGCCAGATCTCCAGTCTGGGGACTGCTGCTCCTGGAATCAATCACCTGTCAAGGCACAAAACCACCAAACACAGAAACTGGGGAACGTAACAGTGCACAAGTAATAAAATGAAGTGGAATGAAATGCTAGTGCAATGGGTTAGTAGAATAAGGCTAAGGCTATGGGTTAGTATAAAACAAGGGAATAAAGTTAAAAAATTTTAAATATTAAAAAGTTAAAAAGAATAATATTAAGCATAAAGTGCACTAACGAACAAGTAACAGACAAGAGACAAAGTGACAAGTGACGACAAAGTGATGAATTGCAGTTAAAGTGTCATGTGCAGTGTGAGGGGGAGTGACCGGTGGAGTGTTATAGTCAGTCAGCCGGGGACCGGGCTCTGTTGATGAGCCCGACTGCCGACGGGAAGAAACTGTTGGTGTGGCGGGAGGTCGTAGTCCTGATGGACCTCAGCCTCCTGCCAGATGGAAGGGGCACAAACAGGTTTTGTCCGGGGTGGGAGGGGTCGGCCGCGATCTTTTTAGCTGCTTCAGAGACCTGGAAGCGAACAAGTCCTGCAGGGACGGCAGATTGCAGCCGATCAGCCTCTCTGCAGAGCGGATGACGCGCTGCAGCCTGCCCTTGTCCTTGGCTGTGGCTGCAGCGTACCAGACGGTGATGGAGGAGCAGAGGATGGACTCCATGATGGCCGTGTAGAAGTGGACCATCATCGTCTTTGGCAGGTTGAGTTTCTTCAGCTGCCTCAGGAAGAACAACCTCTGCTGAGCCTTCTTGGTGATGGAGCTGATTTTCAGCTCCCACTTGAGGTCCTGGGTGATGATGGAGCCCAGGAAACGGAAGGAGTCCACAATAGTGACGGGGGAGTCACACAGGGTGATGGGGGAGGGTGGGGCTCTGTTCCGCCGGAAATCCACAACCATCTCCACTGTCTTTAGAGCGTTAAGCTCCAGGTTGTTCTGGCTGCACCACGACAACAGATGGTCAGACTCCCACCTGTAGGCGGACTCGTCCCCACCAGAGATCAGTCCAATGAGGGTGGTGTCATCTGCAAACTTCAGGAGCTTGTAGGACTGGTGGCTGGAGGTGCAGCTGTTAGTGTACAGGGAGAAGAGCAGAGGGGAAAGAACGCAGCCTTGGGGGGAACCGGTGCTGATGGTCCGAGAGGCTGAGACATGTTTCCCCAGCTTCACCTGCTGCTTCCTGTCAGACAGTCAAGTCAAGTCATTTTATTTTGTATAGCCCAGAATCGCAAATTACAAATTTGCCTCAGAGGGCTTTACAGTCTGTACACATACGACATCCTCTGCCCCGAAACCCACCATCGGCACAGGAAAAACTCCCCAAAAAATGAAAAAACCCTTACAAGAGGGAAAAAAGGGAAGAAACCTTAGGGAGAACGTCAGAGGAGGGATCCCACTCCCGGGATGGACAGACTACAATGGATGCCATGTGTACAGAATGAACAATGTATAATACATGCAATTCCTATGACAGAAATGATTCAAGTAATTGTGAGTAGTAAGCCAGGCGCACAGCAGGACCACTGCAGAGGCAACCACCATCAGATAGAACCACCATCCACAGAATCCTGTGGGGAGGGAGAGCACAGAGATTTTAGGAGAGGGTAATGTTGGTTTATGAGTAAAGTAATATGATTAATATCTAAAATAATGATGATGATGATGATGATGGCAGCAGCAGGCGTCAGCATGGCCACGGTAGGTGTCAGGACCAGGGTCCCGAAGGAACCACGATCTATGGAGACCTGATAGGGGCGAAAGCACAAAAAAAAAACTCCCGGAAAGAAGCTGAATTAGTCATGTGCATTAATAAAACTTGAATTATGGTAGAAAGAGAGCGTGAGAGAGGAGCTCGGTGTGTCCTAAGAATTCCCCCGGCATTCTAAGCCTATAGCAGCTTAACTAAGGGCTGGTCCGGACTAACCTGAGCCAGCCCTAACTATAGGCAGAATCAAAGAGGAACGTTTTAAGTTTTACTTTAAAAGAGCTAACCGAATCTGCCCCCCGGACTGAAAGTGGAACCTGGTTCCACAAAAGAGGAGCTTGATAACTGAAGGCTCTGGCCCCCAGCCTACTTTTTAAAACCATAGGAACAACAAGTAACCCAGCATCTATGGAGCGCAGTTGCCTTGTAGGGCAATACGGTGTTACAAGCTCTTGAAGATACAACGGTGCCTCACCAGCAAGTGCCTTGTAGGTGAGGAGAAGTACCTTAAAATCTATTCTTGATTTAACAGGGAGCCAGTGCAGAGAAGTTAATACAGGAGTGATATGATCCCTTTTCTTAGTTCTTGTTAATACACGTGCTGCAGCATTCTGAATCAACTGGAGAGGCTTAAGAGATTTACAAGAGCAGCCTGATAACAAAGAATTACAGTAGTCCAGTCTGGAAGTGACAAACGCATGAACTAATTTTTCTGCATCACTTTGAGACAGGAAGTTCCTGATTTTTGATATGTTACGTAGATGGAAATAGGCAGTCCTTGAAGTCTTCTTTATATGCGAGTTGAAGGTCATATCCTGGTCGAAGAGAACTCCCAGATTCCTGACGGTGCTGCTGGGTACCAGAGCAATTCCATCCATAAAAACTGTATCACGCGACAGCTGGCTTCGAAGGCGCTCTGGGCCTATCAGGATAACTTCCGTTTTTTCTGAGTTTAGCATCAGGAAGTTGCCGGTCATCCAAGTTTTGATGTCTCCAAGACATTCTTGGAGTCTAACTAACTGGTCCGTCTCTTCTGGCTTGATCGACAGATACAGTTGAGTATCGTCTGCATAACAATGGAAGTTTATGCGGTGTTTCCTGATAAGATCGCCCAAAGGAAGCATATAGAGGGTAAATAAAATCGGTCCAAGTACAGAACCTTGTGGGACTCCGTGACCAACATTGGTGGTCTTTGAGGATTCACCGTTTACAAGCACAAACTGGGATCGGTCCGATAGGTAGGATTTAAACCAGCTGAGTGCAGTTCCTTTGATACCAATTAAATGTTCTAGTCTCTGCAACAGGATACAATGGTCTATGGTATCAAATGCGGCACTGAGGTCCAGCAAGACAAGAAAAGAGATGAGTCCTTGGTCCGATGCAAGTAGAAGATCATTCGTAATTTTCACCAGTGCTGTTTCTGTACTGTGATGCACTCGGAATCCTGACTGGAAATCCTCGAACAAAGCATTGTTTTGTAGAAAGTCACATAATTGATTTGCGACGGATTTCTCAAGGATCTTAGAGAGGAAGGGAAGATTAGAGATAGGTCTGTAGTTAGCCAACACCTCTGGAGCAAGAGTAGGTTTCTTAAGAAGAGGTTTAATTACAGCTACCTTGAAGGACTGTGGTACATGTCCTGTCAACAAAGACAGATTCATAATATCTAATAAGGATGTGCTAACTAAAGGAAAAACTTCCTTAAGCAGTTTGGTCGGAATCGGATCCAAGAGACAAGTCTGTGTCTCGGAAGTCTGTGATCCACTTGCAGGTGGAGTCGGGCACGTGCAGCTGGATGTCAAGATGTCAGTGAATACCCGTAAAAGACCCGTTGTAACTTCTGTATTATTCTGCCGAGTCCTAAAAGGGCAATTCATTGAAAAATGAATAATCAAAAGATTGTGAAGTATAGTGAAGTTATTTTTATTGATTTAGTGTGTGCCAAATTGGTAAAGGTGAACTAGTCAAATTTCGGTCATTGTTGTCATCATAAGAATGAAACATAAAGTAGCCGTGAGGTGGCTACTGCCAATATATTACCTGAAACTGCATGGTACAAAATAAATATATTTCATGTTTTCTGGAACACATATAAAAGGCCTCTAGTTTAATTTACAGAAAACAACCATTTATATGACAGTATTGGTCAGAAAGATCACAATAGCATATTTTTATATAACTGGTTTGTTCCATTCTGGATTTTCATTTTTAGTCATTGACACAGTAACAAAAATGTGGTCTGCATCACAGTGCGTTTTTATGATCAACCACAGTGTCAATGTTTGTTGCTTTGGACTAATTTCCATATCAGCGTTGCACAGAATAGACTCCCTGTCGTGTCCACTGAAACCAGGCCCATGTTAAAGAACCAGCCGACCCATCGTAAGATGACTCCTCCTTGTGTATGAGGGTAATTAGAAGTTCTTCCTGCAGGGCAACCTGGCCCTAAATATTTAATCTGGCGGGAGCTGTGGCAAAACATGTCATGCCACGCGCGTCTTTTGTGTCCGACCATGGAGCAGCTGGTAAGGTGCTGTGTCTGGAAAAGGACGGGGATGTGTGGACGGTGCGGCGGGGGCCGCTGGGCTTGCTTTGGTGTGTACATGTGTGCTAGAGATAAGGTGGAATTGTGTGAACGTGCAGGCGGTGTGTGTGTGTTTGATTGTGTGCGTGATTGTGGGTAAACAGCTGACAGAGACTGAAGCTATTTTGATCAGAGAAGAGAGTCGTGGATATGAAAAAGCTCTCGTCGTAGCATAGGTAGTCGCAAGGCTCTATGAATTCGGGAAAAGACCCAAACTGACTTGACAAGGAGCAAGACGGGCAAATGAACACAGGCCGGGTCGGGAAGACGCGGCCTGTTGTCATTTGCCCGTCTTGCTCCGACGGCTAATCACGGATGGATTTCTTTCTTGTAATGTGCTTCAACGCGTTTCTCTTCTTCATTCCATTTCTGACAGATATGTGTCACAAAGATGTCAACACGCAGCGGCCAGGGATCGGACTCGGTCATCAAGCCCCTGGACACCATCCCTGAGGACAAGAAGGTCAGGGTGCAGCGCACGCAGAGTGGCTTTGACTCGTTTGAGAAGCCCGCTAGCCAGGTGAAGAGGGTCCACTCCGAGAACAATGCCTGCATTAACGCCAAGGGCTCGCCCGCCAGCAAGGAGTCGCCCAAACTGCGCCGCCACTCCAGCCCTAGTTCTGTAAGTAGTAGCCCCTATCCAAACACCAGTTCATGTGTTTTCAACCCTCATTGCATTTCTAAAATCCTTCTGATGTCACATCAGAGAAATAAAGAAAATATCCTGGTTACAAATTGTAATGAAGAAAAGGAAGTAAAATGAATTCTAATTGTAAATGGACTGTACTCAAATTTCTATTTTTCTAGTTGTTTGGCCACTCAAAGCACCTTCTCACTACGTACAATTACAGTGCATCCGGGAAGTATTCACAGTGCTTCACTTTTTCCACATTTTGTTATGTTACAGCCTTATTCCAAAGTGGATTAAATTCATTATTTTCCTCAACATTCTACACACAACAACCCATAATGATGAAGTGAAAACTGTTTTTCACTGTGTGTTCCCCTTATACGGTTACACACGCTCATGTCTCACACACTGTCTCACACACTCATGTCTCACACATTGTCTCTCATACTCTCTCACACACTGTCTGACACACACACACACTGTCTGACACTCTCATACGGTCTCACGCACTCATGTCTCACACACGCATGTCTCACACATTCTATCTCATACTCTCACACACTGTCTGACACACTGTCTCACACACTCTCATACGGTCTCACACTCTCATGACTCACACACTCGTGTCTCACACACTGTCTCTCAGACTGTCTCACACATTGTATCTCATACTCTCACACACTGTCTCACACATTGTTTCTCGTACTCTCTCTCACACTGACCAACTGTCTCTCATACTCTCACACACCGTCTGACACACTGTCTCTCATACGGTCACACACTCATGTCTCACACATTCTCTCATACTCTCTGAAACACTCTCTCGTACGGTCTCACACTCTCTCATACTGTCTCACACACTCATGTCTCACACGTTGTCTCTCATACGGTCTCACACACTCTCTCATGTCTCACACACTCATGTCTCACACATTCTCTCTCATACTCTCTCACACATTGTCTTGTTGACAGATGGGTAAAGCCTTTCAATCCTAGTTGACAGTCTGGCTGGCTCGTCCCTCGTCGTGTCGAGCAGACACTCGGTGCTCATGTCGGTTGAGTTCCCTCTGCACTCGTTGGATGCCCAACAAACTTTCAACAGTGCCCTTTGTTTATCAGTCATCCTGTTGAAAAAGGATCTGACATGGGGAGAGATGTTCCTTGTCATCTCCTCCTCCTCGGTTACTTGCGTTAAATACATGTGTTATTATGAATATTTTCTGTGTTTAAGCTGTGAGAAGCTTTCTGCCACTTTTCTTTCTTTTCTATCTTTTCTTTCTTTGTTACGTGACAAGAAATATTGGCAAAGAGTTTTCTAATCTTACTGAATTCATTTGATGTCAGTTGTGTATTGATTAAATGCAGATGGTGATACAACTATACCACTCTTCTTAATCACACTAAATAGTTACATTATGATCTTCCGGACATTTCCTTCTAGAAATCTTCTATATCGAGACCTCTTCACATCTTGAATAGCCCTGATTCATGATATATCGTTATTGTTCTTCTAGAAAGTTGCTTTGGTCATTGTGTCGAAATTTTCAGTCATGACTTTTTCTTTTTGTTTTTCTTCTAAATTTTCCACCACCAAGGTGGCTCAGACAGGTGCAGTCTAGTCCCACAAGGAGGCTTCTCTGGTCTCCACCCCTCTATGATGGAGGGTGGAGGTCAGGTGCCTAGACTTTGTGAGGCAGGACGGGCGCACCCTAAAATAAAACATTAATTATTTTGGCGGCGAATGTTCCTACGACAGAGCGGACCCTGGAGAAACAGGAGCTGATTTTTGATGGTGGCATCACATGCTGTTGGATGGCGAAGACGATGTAGGTGTCGACTGGCTCGAACCCAGACCTCAAAGCCTGCTGAACCAAGGCTGTGCTGCCCATCTTCTTTGACACATAGCTGAAGATGGTCTTGTCGATGAACGTTTTTCCAGACACGTCAAAGTCCACGTCCTGGACTTTGGCCCATGTCTTATGTACCAGACGCTGGATGATGACCTGGGTTTCTGCGTCAATTAAGTCCCCTTTGCGCCTCTTGAATGCCTGACAAACCAACCTCGTCACGGTGCTCTTGACGTAGGCTCTCCTTGCGTTCTCCCGCGCTGCTGGGTTTTGTGGTGGCATCACGTCTGGCTCGTCCCTCGTCGTGTCGAGCAGACACTGGGTGCTGCTGTCGGTTGGGTTCCCTCTGCACTTGTTGGATGCCCAACAAGCTGCCGTCTTCATGGTGCTCCCGATGTTGGCTGTCCCTGCATTCCTCCACACCGCGGGTTCCTGCCAAAACCTGCTTTGTGATGGACGTTTGAACCCTCCTTCCATCTTGGAGATGTTCCTTGTCATCTCCTCCTCCTCGATTACCAGCGTTGTATACATGGTGTGTATTTCTGTGTTTAAGCTGTGAGAAGCTTTCTGCGACTTATCTCAAGCAAGGCTGCTCTCCAACTGACCAGGAGAAGTTCTGTCAAGTCAAAGCTTCTGCCCGTGTCATAGATCAAAGGGCTCTCGTTGCTAGGCAACCGGTTTACTGCAGCTCTGTCTGTGACATAGCCATGGCCCCTCCCACCGCCCATAGTTACTGTTGCTATGGGTTCCATGAACGCACTGAGCTTTGTAGAAATTCTGACATGCGCAGTAGTGGCTGGAGTCCGGCTGAGCGGGCAGTATGTGGCCCCTTACCTGAAATGACTTTGAGCCCCTGGAATAGATTAACTTTGACAGCCCTAATTCAGGAAAAAAACAGGAGAATTACCATTTTTATGAGGCGTATGCGGCCAATTAGTGACACGGGGAGAGCAGACCAGCCCATCACATTTACAATTGTCCAAAAGTTCTACATCCTTTAGTGCTCACCATAAATAGAAAAGGAGATTTAGGTAGCACCTTGGCTGGTTCATTTATGGGGAGAAGTTCCCTTTTAGGTAATATAGAGCCAGAATATTTTCCGAATTAGAGTGGAAATGTCTGACGACTGAAAGCGGTGAAACTGAATTTAGCATTTCCCCTAGGTCGGTGAGGTATAGTGCTCTGTCCGCTGGTTCATATGTGCTCATACACAACACATTTGTTGTAAAAAAAACATCATTCATAAGCTTAGGGGCAGTCACCACATTTTCAGAGAGGGCGCTGATCCAAAGCGTCATGGTCCTGGTCGGGGGAGCTGAAAGTTTAACTGCCTTATCTCCCATTTCAAAATAACGCTGCTTGGAGTGTAGCAGTTGCTTTTCCATCTTGCCGTTGACTGGAGATCCTCCTTAAAACCCTTAAGTGCCTAATGCGTTGATTGTAAAGTGAAGGGGTAGGAGTGTTGGCACATTCTGGTTATGGGAGACTGTGACGCGTGCAAAGACTCCACATCCCTCTCCACCAGAAGTCCCTTCATAGACTATTTAATAGAAGTCTAGTTCTGTTACTGTGACTGGTGACTGTGATTGCTTTTGAGGATTTGAGCTTGAAATTTAGCTGACTGCAATCTTGGTTTCTGGCCCTTCTCATCTTGACTTTATGCAACCAAGGGAGACAAGTGGCTGCAGCGAAGACGGAAGGCTAAATACATTTTTAATGACCAAAATGTTTATTAAATTAACTTTATTGAAATGAAAAAACACTGAAAGGGTTAAAGTTGGTTTAAAAACAGCTACACTGCAGTATTGACCTGTCAATCACTCCCTAGATCAGACCCTGCTTTACGGCCCATTTGAGTGTGTTTACATGTCAAGAGAAGTGGAGTCACCCTCTCATAGACTTCTATAGGACCAGTGGAGTTGCCGCCCTGGTGGACAGTAATTAGAATGCAGCTTTGAACAACTTCTGCGTTGGCTTGGTTTCTCAGAAAAGCGATGCTTTGTTGCCTTGTGGTAGCAGTAAAAAGTGTTTCATACGGTGGTTAAGACGGCCTATCCGAGATGAACAGTACTGAAATCCAGTACAGATAACAATTAAACACTGCTTGGAATTGTCGGACACGCCGTTGCCTCCCCGTTTTCATTCAGCTCATAGAAAATCTGGGGTAAAGAATATTGAAGCTAAATACAAAGTGTGAGGTGAAATTTCAAAAGCATGTCAAACAGATGCATACACACATCTGTGTAGAGCGATGAGGGAGATGTAACGTGTCTTTCCGCTCTTTGAGGTTTCACTGGAGCTCTATTCCTCAAGTCGTTGTAACGCAACCTTTTCCTTGAAAATAGTGGAAGGCTACTGGCTGTTTATTCATTTTTACAAATAATTAAAGGCAGATATTTTTCAAAAACCATATTTAAATATCAAAACTGTGTCTTTTCCCCTTCTGAAATTCATTTTCTGGCCTCTGTTCTCTCACATGAATAATGAAAGGCTTCTTACAAACCCCATTATCTTCTTAATCCCGAAAATGAGCATTTCAGGTTGTATACATACAGTATGGGGTGCCTGTTTTAATTCAAATGGGAAATGTCAAATGAATCTGCACAAAAATTAGATTTAATAAGTGTGATATGAGGCTTGACTGATTGCCTGCCAACATCGCTGCAAGACACTAATGAATTGGTTGAGCTGTGATTATGAAACGGGTTACACAGCTAGTGTAGAACCCCTCTACAGGCCGTGTTGTATGAAGCCACTTTCTATGTGCCATTATTTGGTGGTCATTGGTTACTGTGACCTCACTACACAATCTCTGCCATATGTTGAGAAGATACTAATTATGACAATGCCATTCAAACATCTAAAAGGATAAAAGTCATTCATTTTTGGACGGACATGGATGTGACGTTCTCACATGAAGGCCGTTTCTCAATACCTAAGACAACATTGATCAGATGTGCGGGGCGAATCACATCCAGGCGTTTTGACCGTTCTGTGAGATGCAGCCTTGTTGGCCTGGTGCAAAATACTCAGTTCTATTTTCTGGGCTACTGAATTGAGCATTCTTTCCTTCTTTTTTCCTTTAGCCCACAAGTCCCAAGTTTGGAAAGGCTGATTCCTATGAGAAGCTGGAGAAACTGGGAGAGGGTTCATATGCTACAGTTTACAAAGGAAAGAGCAAGTGAGTAGAGTGTGCATGTGCACTCCCTATTTATCCTCCCTCTCTTCTTTATAGTGCACTTTACATTTAATAATAATAAATTATTCACATATCTGTAGCACTGCAAATACCAAACATGATGTTTTACTAATTCAATTATTGAAAATGAAAGTCCAAACCTTGTAAATGTGTCCACGATCTCTAATCTGTTATTTTACTACAACAGTTTTGATCAGCTATAATCCAGTGGCTTTGTACCCGGGTCTCACTTCACTGCTGCTAAATTACATTTCATTTACTTGACAAACGTCGCTGTTCTCCGGCTCATGTTTTCCTGATTTTAATGTCTTTTTTCACATTAAAAGAACCAAGGAAACGGGATTGCCATACTTTGTCTCTTGCCAGGGTGAATGGGAAACTGGTCGCTCTGAAGGTGATTCGTCTGCAAGAGGAGGAAGGGACGCCATTCACGGCCATACGAGAAGGTAAGAGCTTCAGGGTGTTACTGGAATAATCATAAGCAGACACCGTTGTTACGTTGAAGGGACACATAAACTCGTTGGCTTGCTGACAATGAGTAAGTCCACGCAAACCTTTTCGGAGTGGCTTTTCAGCTCATCAAACAGAACCGGCAGATAGTGGTGGCAGAACTGCCCAAGTGAAAAAGTCCACAAACCTGCGTGGGATGTCACTGTGACTACACGTGCTTCTGCATTTTGTCCCTCACCATACTGCGACTGTGGACCACACAGTAATGTCTGACATGTGACGACGTCCTGCACCAGTTATCTCCCCATATGTATAACAGCAGCATGTCCCGCCTCTGTGTGTCCTGTCAGTCATGGACGTGAAGAACGTCAAGCTCTTCACTTGACTGACTTCCTGAACCCTCACACGCATCACTGCCATTTGAATATAGAGGAGAAAACAACTGTATTTGATCTGTGTAATACCCAGAACTGATGAAGTGAGCAAACCCCCCCACCCTCCCCAACACACACACACACACACACACACACACACACACACACACCCTCCCTGAGAGAGGGTCTGAAAGCCGGTTTGAAGGTAGGAAGCTCTGAGCCCTGGCATGTGAGCAGCATTACACACTGCTGTTGAATGAAGTAAAGAGACGTGTGTGTGCTGCCCATCACTACGGATTAGGGGTGGGAATCTCTTGGCACCTCACGATTCGATTCGATTCAGAGGTCAACGAACTACCTAAAGGTTGTTCACAATAGAGAACCAGCGCACATCTTACCTCATTGTTTCCATTTTCTAAAAAGTCGATCCGTATTGAAAGTTGGCAAGATATTCACAGATTTGGACTTTTTTCTGGTATTTTACAAATACGGACCGGTCTGAGACAAAGAGCAGCTTTTTCTTCATTTAAAATAAAAATGAATCTGTTTAATATTGTTTTTACATCGGCTACTTTCATATTGTGTTGGAATGCAAGCTGCATTGGTTCTTGCATTGTTGATAGAAAATCATATTTGTGACAAAGATTTTTTTTTCTCTTATAAAAAATTAGAGAAGGTAATTCATCTGTTCATTTTATTTAATTATCAAATAAAGTAGGAAGTGATTAGCAACCTCTGAGGAGCAAACTCAGATTTGAGAAAATTTAGAAAATGGAGGTGCATCGATAATCGTTTTCAGTTTAGAATCGAATCGTTGACCTCTGAATCGAATCGTGAGGTGCCAAGAGATTCCCACCCCTAGTTCCGAATCACAGATTAGCTTTGGAGCTAGCACAGCATTGTGCTAAAGCTAGCATCCATATTTTTAGATGTTCCTTTGTGTTTTGGATGAGCTTCATAATTCTCAAAGGATCACATGACAACCTTCAAGTATACTATATTTCTAGAATTGCAATAACAAAAACGGCTTGATTTCTTCTAAGACATAAGTCCCTGCCCCTCACCTGCAAACTACCACTATGGATTAGCAGCTACGGTATTTTTGCTGTGGAATTCCTCCAAGGCCGAAGATCGAGGTTTTGCTTTACTGGCAACTGACTGCAGCTCTCACTCTTCTTTCGGTTTGATGTTCTAGCATGACGACCCTCACCTCACCTGACAGCTGACCACTGAAGTAGAACATCAGTTGTACATTTTTCGTTCACACTCGTTTCAATAATATGTTACAAGAGAAGAAATGCGTCGGACCAGTAATAAAACACAACTGTCAAGTTGAGGTTTTTAGCTGCGTCGAAGTTTCTCACTAAAATCTGTCCCTGGTGAATTCTGTAAACCTTTGCTTTTGTATCTCGGCCTGTTATTTGCAAAAGCCTCCCTGACTCTGATCAGCTGTTCAGATGTGAAAGTCTAAATAATCCGTGGCAGAATGTGCTGATCACCCCCTGCCTCCCAAGTAAGACTAAGCTTTGCCAGTAAAGTAACCATCTCCCCATCATCTGCATCACTGCTCTACTTATTAACACTGTCTATCATTCGTATACACAGCTGTAATCCACCCAGTGTTATCTTTGGTTTGTTAATCCCCTCTATGTAACCCCGCCGCATCCCAACCATGCCGCTAATGAAGGCTGCAGATCGCAGCGCTGCTCTGCAAGCTCTATATGTGCCTCCCTTTAACTCTCTGCCGCTTCCATCTCCACAGCATCTCTTCTGAAAGGCCTGAAGCATTCCAACATCGTGCTCCTCCATGACATCATCCACACCAAGGAAACGCTGACTCTGGTGTTTGAATACGTGGTAAGCCCCTATGAGCCTGTTAGCGGTGGACGGCAGTCCGCTCTAAACAACAGAACACGGGTCACGGCTTGTGTATTGGTCGTTTTGACCTTGTTGTCTCTGGCAGTTTCATGTTTTAATCCTTTGCTCACAGGAATAAGAGCTGTGGGTATTTTGAATGGCGGACTCTGGGTTATTGGGCACTTGAAGAATGTTCTAACAGCTTGAGCAAAGAATGGGAGCAAAAGGAGGTGTTTTGGAGGTGCTCATGGCTTATAAAAGCTCATTGACCAGTCCTCCTCCCATAGTTCACATGTTCCTGTGGGTCCGTGTGTGTGGGTGACCTGTGTTTTGCAAGGTAACATTTCTGTTTTAGTTCTATATATTATATAGGAAGCTATATAACAGCTTCTGTTCACAATGTGGCAGAATGCAATAAGAATGAATCTCCTAACGAAAGGAAGCAACAAAAAGGTTTTCTTTGGTCTGTGGTGAGACCGAGCAGGTCTGTTGCTCCTCTCGAGCTGTTGAGATGCTCGTCATCTTCTGTCCCATCAGTCCTCTCCTGTCAACATGGTATGTCCCTCTCATCTGGACACAGTACACACCGTCTGCTGATCCCATCCCAGGGCCGCGTAATCAGCAAATGTATTAGAGCCACCTAAAGGAAAGAGACGCACCTAAAAAAACACTTTAGGTGGGTCCTTCATTCAGAATGTTGTTTCATAATCCAAATTGGAATCTGAATCAGAAGCCATTTGTTGCCACATATGTTAACCATGATGACTGGTGCGATATAAGAATATAATCTAATAAAATAATAAAAAATATACAAGCTAAATGAAAACAAGAAATCTACCCCACAATATCTTTACTAAGGGTGATTAAAAGAAAGCTTCAACATTTTAAGCAGAAGAGATTAAGAGACTCCTGTGGAATCCCTTTGCATACGTATCTGCTGACAACCATCGATGGTCACATTGATATTCAGCTCAATCTTTGATCTTCAAACGCTGCCCGAGGCCAAATCGGTCAACCAGAACAAGCTTACTCAGCTTTCCACCTCTTCCTCATTTTAATGAGACTGAAAACAGGGCGATGCCCCTGTTGGTGGGTAGAACGCTTGTCAAAAGGTCAGGTTCTCAAGGAGGTTTGGTGAGACGTGATTGGAGCTCAGCAGGTGACACTAGAATGAAGAATGAGAGGTCTGTTCTCTTCTTTGGGAGTAATACCAAGATTCCCCAGATAGAAGTCCAGACAGAGGCAGGGTTGGGTTCATTATCTGTTACATACTTACTCGTATGTAAAACATTTCCCCTGCTGCAATGCGGCCCCCGTTTTCTATGGGTGCCAGCCAGGAACATAATACATAACACGTTTACCCTCCACGTTAAATCCTCCATCCTTTGATTTATTGCAATTTGGATGCAACACAGTCATTTGCATATGAGCGATGACTTGCTTTTCCATTCAGGAATTCGGCCTCGTAGCCAACGGGGTTATTCAGCAGAGGCTCTGACAGCTGTGAGATGTCGGAGATTGTAAATGTCACTGTGATTATAGAGCCGACACTCCTCCATCCGCAGTATCTAAACACACCGGTGAAGCGTGTGCATGCAAACGCGTCACCTAAAGCAGCATCATTGCTGGGATCTGGGGTATTAAAGGTTTCATTAGTAGAACCCTATTGTTGGAATTTTAAATGTTTTATTTGTAGAACTCTTTTGGTTTGTTTTAGATGAAAACATTGGACGATAAAGTGCTTCCTGCCAAAGTGTCGCTTCTGAATGTTTTTAAATACACTTTATTGTTTACAGCGCTACCAGCGATAAACGGGGGAACGGTAGAACTATGAAGACGCAGTGAACTGTCAGGAATATGTGTCTCTAGCAGCTCCACCCCCCCATGTGGCGGTATTAATATGATGCTTTCCTGCTTTTGTTTCACAGCATACAGACCTGTGTCAGTACATGGACAAACACCCCGGGGGTCTCCATCCGGATAATGTGAAGGTACAGTATGCGTTAATATTGGGGTTTAATAATAAGAACACTACTCAAAATGCTAATGAAGTTTGGAGGGGAAAAACAGGAGCAATGTTTCCTCGAGGAACGGCTCCGGACGAGTGTGTAACCTTGATATCACGAATATCATGGGACCCAAATATTGCATAGTTTGACCTCTTCAGGACCAACACTCATTGTGTAAAACAATGTGTGAGGAGAAAAGAGCTGACACGGCATGACTGCATCTCAGAGGACCACAAAGCCCCCTCCTCCTGTCCTATGGTCCACTCAGCTGCTCTGGGGGGCTGTTTTCTATTGGCTATCTGCAATCAGACGTATTGTTCTAATCCGCACAGGAAACGGTGCATTACTAGCGTGATGTTGGGAAGAGGAACCAGGAGAAAGAATGTTTCGTGTTGAAGCAATACATTGATTAAGAAATGATGGATTGTCTCTTCTAGACGCATTTATGCTGCATAAGACTGAGGAGACCCTAAAAGAATTTGGTTTCATCTTTTAAAACAAACAATTATGATGCTCTGCTCAACAGTGCTGCGGCTCACCAGAAGGGTGGTGTTCCATTAGCGCCTGGCTGCACAAAGATGAACCCCTTCAGATCTCCAACCATTACATTACTGTCATCGTCTGACTCCACCCATCAAATATCTACCAATCAGAGTTGCACATAATCTACATTAGTGGATGGAGCCACATCTGCTTCTGCAGAAAACCAGCCAGGTGACACTTTGATCACATTGCTTTTTATATAAAATATTCAGGCATGGTGTCTTATTAGTGTCTTAACCACTTTATTTGAGATTTAAATGAACCTGCGTCTTTTTCTTTTGCCTATTTGTTTGTGACGTGAATGGACACAAGTATGAAAAGTATTTATATTTTTCAAATTATTCATGGGATATATTCTTATTTGTATGTAGCCCCAAAATAATTTGGTACCAACCATGTTCACCTGTATTCAAACGTCTGAATGACGGGGCCATCTGGTTGTGTGTGGGACGTGACCCAACAGGACAGCACAAAGGAACAGGTAGAAGGACATGATGGTGGAGTGAGACGATGACGACGTTGGTGTGCAGACGTTCTCTCACACCTCATCTGTTATGTAACAGCTCGCTCCTTTCGCCCTCAGGATTTACATAAGTACTACGCGTTCCTCCTGCTGACAGCCGCCGCCATGCAAATGAATAATTAAGGCTTATTCTGAGGTGTTGCTTGGCACCCGCTGACTTTGTTGCTTATTGGTGAGACAACTGAGCAGCGCTTTATAATCCGTTGAGGCTCATAGCCCGGTTCCTGCAGGCATGAAGATGAAATGGAGGCTGCACGGGAACTACTCAGCATGAACACAATGGTTTTAATAATCCGTCACACGGAGGATGGCAGCTCTTTTCTTTGGGAGTTATCAAGGAAAGGCTTTAGCATTAAAGGCAGCGACGCATTTACTATTCATGCAGAATGTTTGAAGAGAAATGTCACTAGAATGTGGTCATTTGGAATGAAATGGTATACAACAGCGATAATGATAATCATAAGGTAGTTTACTTATTCCTAACTTCAGAGCAGATTTCCCTTTCTAGTCTCGTTTTCCATACCGACAGACAAACTTTGACTTTCTATCCTTTTCAGTGGTGGAAATGGGCTGAGATGACAAAACTGAAACCTGCTTAAGCAGAGAGCTGGAACATGAACGACGATGAAGCACGGAAATGTACAGATGCCTTCAAAACTACTGGACAAAAATGAATCTCTGATTCGCTTGAAACATAAACACAAATGTAGCACTTGCATGCTGTAACTGTGTGTACACTATCCATGTATTCATCAGAACGAGGCTGCCAGGTTGGGTATTAATGTGCACGGATATAAACCAATAATAAGCTGTGCTCACTGACTTAATCTGGCAACGTGCCCTCGCTCTGCAGAAAGGTGCAGTTCCAACAAAAGCCCACAAGGTACCGTTCAGAGGAGTCCACAACGAGACTCATGCCAGCTAATGAGCAGAGCAGGATGCTCATCTCACTATGAAAGAAAGTGAAACTAGTGTATTTAAGTGTCACAGCGTTTTCGGCTTTGAATGGTTTTATTTTTTTACCTGGAACACGAGAATCGTGAACAGGGTTAATGTCTGTTATTAGTGCGTTTTATGACTGAATGAGTCACTCAGCCATCCTACTGTTTATTAATCAGGAACCTAGAAGCTATTAGTGCCTGTAGATCAAATTAACATGTAGAGACACACTCAGACTCTCACTCAATGTAATCATTGGTCAAGCACCAGAGAGCTGTGTGTGTGTGTTTGTGTGTGTGTGTGTGTGTGTGTGTGTGTTCCTACAGTTTCAAATTGAAAATTAGCTGAAGTTTCTGCTTGAATTTGATGATCCAGAGTCAAATCATCAACCATCTTGTTGTGCAGCACTATTAAGTCTTCTCGCTCGATGTACTCAAGCTTCAGTTTGTCAGTGGCGCTGCTGTAATTGAACGCAAGTGAGTATGACCTCATCGGGCTGCTGCTGAAGTGCTCTTCCTATTAGATGATATGCTGTCGGCTGAAGGGCCGTATCTTAGTGACATCTGCACAGATCAATGGGAAGCTGACACCCACACACCGTGTCTACAAGCCAAGTAACGGCTCAATCAAATTACAAGGGAAGCTACTGGAAGCACATTATGGTGTCCAGTCAATATCATCGCTGCGTGCACTGGGACACTTGGCCTGGACCTCCGATCTGCACCTCTACACAGATAGACGTTCTAAACTCTACAAAGCTCTATATTACTTGACATAGACCACTATATGTCAATGGGTAAGCATATCTAGCTCAATCAAATCACCACTTGATTAGCCTGATGATGAATGTAACTGAACTTTGAGGACCCTCCTGGGACGGTTCCTAAGATTACTAATTCTTCCGTTAGTAATATACTGTAAACTGTAATAATATTAGTAATATTTCATTGTGTGTGTGTGTGTGTGTATATGCACATGTATGTATATTTATGTACTTGCATACTTCTATACCAACCCAGCTGACAGGGGTAGTAGCTGCTCTGTCCGGTGGTGCGCAGGGAGAGACATTGTATCTATATATACACATATATCTTTATATATATTAACAGTGTAACGGATCACAAATCGTTTGGTTCGTATCATGGTTTTGTGTGTGTGTGTATATATATTTCATGCACAATCGCATGTATTTGTGGCATGCTTGTTGCATAAGCCAAGAAGACAATCTAGTTCAGAACACCTCACATCTCTTGGTCCATGTGTTCTGGTCTCTAAAGTGGTGTTTCACTAGTCTTTAAGTTACACAATGAGGCCCTGCAGAACTACACAGCTGCTCATTAAAGTCTCGGCCAAAGACAATTGTGGGTATATGTGGAACTTCACCGTCCTCAGCGGGCAGTGCCACAGTGCAGGTTGATGCTTCCTCTTGATTGAGCCCATTAGACATCATTGTGCAGATGCTTAGTGGAAAAGAGGAGCGCTCCTTCCAGGCAGATGGTAGACCGGTTTCACTTCATTTAACACTCACCACTTCCCCATTTCAGGGAATCACCTCTTTGGAGATTTCAGAAGTAATTTTCAAGGTAACGATTCGTCTGTGCAGTGATGGTCTACACATTAATCTATTACTGACACAGTTTGAACTCAAATATAGAGCATTCACATTTCATTCACAGACCTTTGGTTTAGTCAGTCTTCAGTCCCACCTGTCTTGAAGCTTCTGATCTGGTGTGTATATTAACATCCCATTGAGACGCAGCACGTGTCTCCTCCTCCTGTGTTCCTTGCAGCTTTGTTCTGTTTTTCTCTTTTGTCCTGGTGAACCCCATCGGGCTGCTGTCACTTTGATGCATCGCCTCAGCCCTCTGCTGCACATTGAATATGAGAAAAAAAGCCTAATTCCACTGCATTCTACAAATAGACGCCTCAGAGCCGACCCAACACACACTTTGCCTTCTTCCTAATCTGGATCCAGTACTTCATCATTAGAAAGATGGTGTGGGTCTATTGGTCGGTTCATGATGAATATTGGTTCCTGCAGTCGGATCACTCCTCAGGATACAGTTTATATGAGAGTATAACAATGGATGGTTTAACTTCAATCACATGCTTTCGTTCTCCTGCAGTTGTGAGCTCATAATGCATCATGATTAACACACTTATACACTAGAGATCGTGCCAGGCTTCTCCCTTCATTGTGAGACCCATGCACTCTGAATCCCAATGAGTGTTATTAGCTAGTGTTCCTGCAGCAGGCATTCAGGCTTCTTGTTTTCTATTGTGCAACAAGTGAACAAAGGTCCTTGCAGCTTATTCAATTAGATTGGTTTTATTTTGTATAGCCCAAAATCGATAATTGTTCATTTGCCTCAGAGAGCTTTACAGTCTGTACACATGTGAAACCCTCTGTCCCGAGACCCTCACATCAACACAGGAAACACTCCATTAAAAATGAAAACCCTTCCATGGGGAAAAAAGGGAAGAAACCTTATTGAGAACGTCAGAGGAGGATCCGTCTCCTGATGGACAGACTACAATGATGTCATGTGTACAGAATGAACGACGTATGATACATTCGATTCCTATAACAGAAAAGATTCAAGTTATTGTAGTAAGCAGGTGTACGGCAGGACCACTGCAGGGACAACCACCATCACATAGAACCACCATCACATAGAACCACCGTCACATAGAACCACCGTCACTAGGAACCACCGTCACATAGAACCACCGTCACATAGAACCACCATCACATAGAACCTCCATCAGATAGAACCACCATCCACAGAAGCCTGTGGGGAGGGAGAGCACAAAGACTTTAGGAGAGGGTAATGTTGGTTTATGATGACAGTAATAGTAATATGATTAATATTTAAAATATTGATGTTCATAGAAATGGAAATATCAGTAGTGTTAGAAGCGTGGGTGTCCACGGGGCCAGGCAGCCGTCAGGACCAGGGTCCAGAAGGAACTACGA